TTTTTTTAACAATACCAACAGGAGATTGGTAAAAGTGTCTTGATAAGTTATATATGCTAAAGGCCCAATATGCTCATGTGACCCTAACGGCTTTTCGTTAATAGTGGCTTTTGACAGTTGGAGCATCTGTGTATGATATCTAATAATGCATATGGATAATGAACTATTATGTTATGTTGTGAGAGAAAGAATCGTCTAAACATAATTCAAAAAAAATTATTTATTTATTTTTAATAAATAATCTTTTATAATCTTTCATAGTTTTATTCACTGACAATTAGTCAATTTTCGCAAGTACAGTCAACTTTTCAAAGACCTTATCCACACCTTTTGGATTTTGCCTAACTTGTATTGTTGTTTTTGGTTCTCGGTTTTCACAGTCAATATTCAAAGTGTATAACAAAATCTGAATATTGTTGTTGTTGTTGTTGTTGTTGTCCACGTTTATCAAATTAGACTTTTTTCTTTAATTTTCGATTGTGTTTTTTTTTACAGAAAAAAACCTTCTACTATTTCTGAAGAGTTGTTATTGTTGTTAGTTATTTTAGATGTTGTTGTTATTGTTGTTAGTTATTTTAGATGTTGTTGTTGTTGTTGCTGCTATTGATATTATATTGTTTGTAGCGCGCTTTAGGTTGGTGTTATAACTTAAGTTAAACATTTTGTTGTTGTGTTTCCGTTGTTGATTATGTTTTGTCTGTTTGTCAGATGGTGTACACTCGGCACACCTCCTCGTGACACCCATTGCACAAAATAATTAAGTTGTTTCTTATTGGCGCTTACTCGCCTCGACTCGACTCGACTCCAGTCGACTCAACTCAACTCAAAATGAAAACTTTACTGACATTCAGATATGTTTACAATTCAATTTTTTTCTCAACTCAATTATTTGTTAAATCTTAAAATATGTAATTTGCACTAATAGGTGTGTTGGAACTACTGGAAAGTAAAGGCACAGCAATGGAAATATCATGTCGTGTATATTATTAACAAGTGTTATTGTTATTGCTTTTAGTGATATATTGTCCAGAATTTGACATGTTAACATGTTCAATAATATTTTGTAATCGCACTTTTCTAAATTAATATTGGATTAAGGAATGTATATCGATAGAGATGTCAAAGAAGTTATTTTTATTGAACACCACTTCTTCCGAGACAACGTATAATCACATTTTTATCTAATGAAATAATGCTTGGGTAACATGTACGATCGGAAGAGGCAATAAAGTAAAGTAGGTTCTATACTAATTTTTATTAATGCAGCAGGGCTTAGAGACCTACACTTAACCCAGAAGGGAACCCGACGGTCGCAGTGCCATATCCCCTACTATTCGGAATATATGTAACTAAGAAACAATTTCGATAAAAGTTTGTGTATACAATAAAATCTACATATAAAAAATTAATCAATGATAAATATATATTAAACATATGATAATAATATTTGGTAATATAAAAAGTATTAGCTGATTTTTGTCACTGAAAAACCCAAGGAAATTTTGCAATTGGTGGATTTAGACCGACACAGGAGCTATCGGTAGAGACAGTAAGACAGTAAGACTACACTGAGATTTACTTGACCAAGTTTTTGATGATAAACCACAGACAAATTGTTGCAGATAATCCTCTAACTTAAAAATGACAATATTTAGGTTTTTGAATAATACCGAGTAAAATAATGTGTTAGACTTAGATGAATGAACTTGAGATACTGAACTTGTGAGAATAATTTTCGAACCGACACTCACACGTTTTCAACGGAACAGCCTTCAAGTGTTTAGGATTCCTTCATTTCTATTTAAAGTCTCTGCTCGAGATAGAATAATAGATTATGCGATTTTTTGAGTTTGGTGTAAGTGGTCTCGTTTTGATATTATCTCAGGGAACTTAGCATATTATAACACTGTTACTACTGTTTTGTATAAAGCTCACGGTTTTCCTATTGCAAGTGTTTTTCCTGTACAGTTTCAATGGTAGACACAATGTTCTGTCATTCAGACAATGGATATATTGTTGTGCATACTTATCTTATAATATGGAATAGAACGACTTTTGAATTGAAAAGAGTATGTAAAGCCTCGATTGCTGACGAATTACCGGTTAGATCAGTTAAAATTAATTATGATTTAAAATTAATTGTAGTTCAACTGCGCTACCCTCTGATCTTGAACATAAGAATTTTTATTAATATGTTTGACTTTGAACTATATATCATATAAGTGTGACACTCGATATTTTATATTAGAAGTATTGTGAGTAAGCATATATATTGGGTTAAGTCCAATAAAAACTTTCATTTTAATATAAAGTGCTCATCATTGTATTCATGGAGTGTTATATTAGTACTAGGTTACATATTCGTTATAAAGTCGTGGTTTATGAATAAATTGGAGAAAGATATTGTGAACCGATTTTTTCTAATCCACACAAAAAACATTTATTTTTGTTGAAATATCATTAGCAATAAATTTATTTATTTATTTATTTATTTTAAAGAACTATTTTTTATCATTATTATTTTAATTTTTGTTACCATAAACCTGACCAAAGAAGACAAGAACTACAAGAAATGATACATGACACATAAAAATGATAGTTTCAAGTATGGGAACAGTGGGTTATAGATTTATATATAAATATGGTATGAGATTTGAAAATTGCTTGAAAAGCTATGGAAGTATTAAACATTTGCCTAATGAAGATCAATAATATGATATGCACATCTTTTCAAAAGTACATCAGCTGCAATTTTAAGTGAATACTACTAGGAATACTACAGAAAATATATTTGTAAAGCTTGAAGTTAAGTAGTACATCTGGAGTGTGCCTAATTTAGAATGAAAAATATGCAATTTATATCAGATACTTTATGAAATGGATTTTTTTTCTTAATTTGCTTTAAAATATTTATTAATCATATAATACGTCATAATTACAAACATTTTCAAAACTAAATTTAAACTTTTTGATCATATTTGCTACTAAATCTTTAGGTGAGCATAACTTGAATAGAGATCTTAGTTAAAATGCAACTCTGTGTATTGAGGGGCGTTCGTACGGTCTTCAAAATCGTGACTAATTACAGAAATTCAAACGCTGTAATTTAATTATGTATCTGTGATTCGTTATCGCAATTGTGGCGTCACAATATCATTTATTTGCAAATAGTAAATAAAATTTAAATAAAAAAAAAACTTAGTATATCATAAGAAATAAATTAGTGTTTTAGTAAATTTACAATAAATGGGAAATTTTCATAAATAAACGAGACGAATTTGATATTCATCTGTGCCAAAATATACGTCAACTCGAATCATAAAGGTGGGACTTCAAGTAAAACTGACGATTTTGATCATATATATTATTGTTAGAGTCCTGTGTAACGTAATATATATTAAGTCAGGTATTGTATCTTCTATAGAAACTAAAGTTTATAACAGATTACACAAAACTACAGAAATGAGAAATGTTCAACAATTATTACATATTTTTTTACTATATATATTTTCACAGTGGACTTTTTTTTTTATTAAAAATTAAATATAATGTATTTATAATTATTTTGCAACTATTTTTTTTTCATTCATATGTGTATTAGGTTAGAAATGTCTTCTTTATGCTTTTTATATGTCCAGCTTTTCAAATTTAATTGTCATTAAATAAAACGATTCGTAGATACCACCAGGATAGAAGCTGTTGGTAATACCCACATAAACCCATATATGTATATAGAAAGGCATGTACTTTCGACGAGCAAGACTTGTCCCCGCAGTCAAAAAATAGCGCTGAGCTAATGATCTAGTGACTAGGAATTAAAATATGTATGTATGCTTAAGCATACCGATTTTGAATAGCTATTACAATGTGTCTTTGTACTAAATTAGCTCCTTTTACATTTTATTAAATTTTAATAATCAACAATTTTTTGTCATATGACAATAAATCTATTTCAATTAAAAACGATAATAGTGAGTAAATTTCCAAATTCAAAAGAAACTTCATCATTCACGTAAATTCTTCGACAGATCATATGACTTTTTTGGATATTGCCAATTTTGCAATATTAGTGATTTTTGGAAAAATCTGTTGATTCGCATTTTTCATTCAATATCAAAGAATCTACACATCTCACGAAAAATATCCAATTGTACCAGAATTCATCTATTGGGCAACATAAAAAGTATTCGTCGTTTCTTGTAACGAAAAAAGTACATGAACAGGAGATAGTGAAGGCACACAAATTAACCATATGAGAGTTTGGAAATATTTGAGGCAAGCAGGCTAAGCTAAGACTATTTACAACTCGACCGCTTGAAAAGAACAAGCAAGGAAAAGCGGCTAGAATTGGCCAATAAATTGACGGAATTCGGTTGGGACATATTGTTTTGTTTCGATTTCTGTGAGTCTCTTTAAATGTTGAAAAATTCCCCGACTGAACAGCCGTTAAAAATCACTTGATCAAGTTTTTCGCGGATAAGCCACAGAAATTCTCAACCGATGGAATTATGAAGGTATCCGAAAAATGGTAAGAAGTCATAAATAATAATAGCTAATTTCTATTAGATTGAATTTGATTTCCTATGAAAGAAAATTTTCGTTCAAAAATATACTTTTTGGAGACTTTTTATATTATCTAATATTTGAATTAATCCTTTATGTATCTTTTGATGGGATCAATCTTGATGTCCCTGAGGATGTCGTTCGTCCTATTGTACCATGGAACTTTGAAAAGTCTTCTCAGAGCCTGGCTTTGTGCAATTTTTAACTGGTGAATAGTAGTGTTTGAAGCTTTGCTAAATGCTACACAACCATATAGAAGTGACGGACGAATTATTTGGTTATATATCAGTTTCCTGTTCTTAGTATTGAGATTTTCATTTAAATAGCGTTGGAGGTAATGAAGAATAATAATAATTGAAATAAATAATAATAATGACAGCAAAATGAAAAGATTAAAAAAAAGCTAAATGAGAGACTGAGAAGGTATTATTTAGGGCTATTATACTCAATTTTTATTTAAATTGACATGGAGTTTTTCTGAATAATATTTAATCCCTCCATGTTTTACTAATTTCCAACTATGTGTCTTTCTTTGTTTTTATTTTTTCTTAAATGTTCTCTTTTTATTTTTTTCGTTTTTCTGCTCTTCTTTTTTCTTTTCTGCTTCCTCTTCCTGTTTTATTTTTTCGGCTTCCGCTTCTTTTTTTGCCTCTTCAGCTGCTGCTTCTTCAGCGATTTTAGTTTCTATAAGTTGTACTTCGTTGACGAGTCGTGCTATAAATTCGCAACAAGTTGTTTCCCGACTTTTGGCAATTTTAATGACTTCTTCATGGTTTGCGGGTTCTCTATCTTCGTAATCCAGTGCACATTTGTTGGTGATAAGACTTAATGCAAAAACTGTCATGCCACAGTGTCTAGCTATGATTATTTCATGTGCAGTGGACATGCCTACTGCATCAACTCCCATAGTATGCAGCATTATGAGCTCAGCAATTGATTCATATGTTGGTCCACCTAAGCAAGCATAGACACCTTCACGCATAATTTCTTCAATTCCCATTTCTATACCGACTTTTCTGGCTAAATCTCTCATTCCTTTATCGTAAGCATTAGTCATTGATAGAAAACGTGGTCCAAGTTGCGGTAAATTAGGACCATTCAATGGATTATTACCAGGTAGTCCCATGAAATTTATATGGTCACGTATGAACATTATATCACCCAAATTAAATTCTGGATTAACACCACCTGCAGCATTTGTTGCGAATAAATATCTTACACCAATTAAATGCATTATACGTACAGGCATTGTGCACTTCAACAAGGTATATCCTTCATAATGATGAAAACGTCCTTGCATAGCCACAACAAATGTTATTCCAATTTTTCCAAAAACAAACTGACCTGCATGTCCTGGCACAGTTGATACTGGAAAATATGGTATTTCATCATATCTGATTATTTCTTGCTCTGTAATGCTATCAGCTAAAGATCCCAAACCACTGCCACATATAATACCTATCATCGGACGAATCTCAGTCCGACTTAGTACGAAATTTACAGTTCTCTTTATCTCCTCAAATGAGTAGCTTCTATAAAAACCAATGTAAAAAATATGATAGTAAAATAGTTTTATTCATATATCGATTAAAATTTATTTAAATTACGTTGGACAGAGTCTGGGATCCATGATCCATAGACGAAGAAACGTGCTGTGATGTGTCAAAAATGTCGAAACGTTAAACTTTGAACTTTCCTGAAGACGGCATGAAGATTCTATTCTTTTCCAATACTAAGGATTTTGTTACCACATTTTTTTTTTAAACAAAAAAATTTGTTAATGTATTTTATTAATTTTGAAAGTTAGCTCTCCATATGCAAATTTTACATATAATAATATATATATATATAAGTACAAAAAAGCATATTTTTATGTTTTGAATGTAACTAGCTGACCTACTGTGATTCAGTTATTATGTATTTAATTCATACTTGCATCCTTTGGAAGGAACAGAGAATGAAAGACCTCTTCACATATAGTTGTCCTGCGAATGGTTTACGAGAGATACATAAAAGCATGCTTAACAATACTTATTAAAGAATTAAGTCAGGCATTGGATACATCATGAGGTTTAAATATTCAATTTTTCAAATACTTTAGATTTATAATAAAATTATATGGAATAGTTTCTATATACTAAAGAAATTCCGTCGTAAAGTTGAAAGTATGAAAATAGTCGAGCGGGTCCTAACTTTACCATAAATGTTATAGGTTTAATGGCTTAAATCATTAATAATTTTTTAATTGTTCAAATTGAATAAAATAATAAATCATGAAATTATTATTCAATCGATTTGAGAAGCACCCATACCAAGGTATCATATATTTGTCATAAATGGTGTATATTTGGTTTCCATGTTGATAACACATTTTCTACAACGACAGTTATCAATTAACAGCTGATTTATATTCAGTTGGTGTCGCTATGTTATATCAATATCAATAAATAGACGTTTTCGTGATTTATAAGTTCATAGAACGGTTATTCCAGATTTTTAAAGACACCTCACCAATAAAAAAACATTAATATGGAACTGTTTTAATTTTAACACCATACACAATAAAACAACGTTATTCCATAGTAATGTTTGCTGAAAACATCCTTAAGTTGAAAAAAGTAGATCTTGACAGAACACAGCTCGAGCAAGATGATGTGCCGCACCAAGCAGGCCTGAACACAGATCACACTGATGGAAGTCTTAAATAACTAACAGGCATCCTACTAATATTAACGTAGTCCCGGGGTAAGACAAGATCTCTAAGAATAAGGGGTTGTGATTTTCCGGGAATAGTGGTCGGATTTTGGTCAATGCGTAGTCATTTCACTCTTTCTAGCGGTAAAAAAAAACAAAAAAAAAAAAATTATTTTATTCCAGAATATATGCGTTGAGCGCGAATGTCATGTGATGATGCTGTGGATCGGTCTCCACAATCGTATGATTTTAAATTTCCTCTGGTCTGCTCAGACAACCCGCGACATTGAACCAATTAGAAGCCATAATTTTCAGAATTATTCTCGATAAACGGCGTAAGATGTTTCAAAGGTGGAAACTTTTTAAATAGTTCTCACTGAAAAATTCATTTTATTAATGGGAACGATGGCATAAAAGACGAAAATTCGTTCACATTAGCTACATACTGAACAGATAGAACTATTCAGCGATTATTTTAAGTGGACTATTTGTTCTTACAGAAAGTTCTTTAGAAAACGTTATGGTGCTTAACTTGGGAAATCCAAATCAAATCAAGAAAATAATATTCAAATATCAAAATGAATGAAAAGTATTTGCAACTCGGATATACATCTCACCTCAGTCTTTTAAAGGAATTTATAAAACAATTTTAAAGGCAATGTGGATACCATTGAACATAAATCTAACCTCAGCTTTTTCAATGGAATTTATAAAACTATTTTAAAGGCAATTTAGATATATGGTTTAAGTTTATGGAAAGATTGTAGCAAAGTAAAAAACAAAGATTTTAGTCTGCAGCTCTTAGAAAAATTTTGACCATTGCTTGGATTATCTCTGATATAACAATACACAGTGACTTATAAGACTCCTACAACAAAGTCAAGATGAAAAAGCCAAGATGGGTGAACAGGTTACGCCAGCATGTAAATGCAACAGTGATGTACTTACTAGTTAATTTCAATGAAACCAGACGAAGTAATGGGTGTAATTGGTTAGTTTCTGCTTTACAGATGCTAATGCTTATAGCCCAGTAATAGGGAAGTAAGCAAGAATAAGGCACTTTAATTTTTATATATATAAAAATAGATTTTTTACTTAATTCCAATGAAACCAGAGGACGTAATGGTTGTAATTGCTTATTATATGCTTTACAGATGATAAAGCTTATAACCTAGTAATAGGAAAGTAACCAAGAATAAGGCATATTAATTTTCATAAATATAAAAATTGATTTTTTACAGACTACCATATATTATACTTAATTACACTATATCTAGTATTTTTTCTAAGTAAAACTAACATCTGAAGCACCATTTAGGTATCATATACAAGTGCTATACCGATGGGTGTTGCTATTTCTGTTAACGTACTGATCCCATTCGCTGAATATCTCCTGTTGATAGATAGTAATTAATGTGTAATAACAAAATAAAATCGTAATATCTGTCTTGTCTTATAAATTAAGTAATTCTTTGAATTATTTTTAAATGAAAAAAAAAAGAATAATAAATTATAAACTGCTTGCTTAGCAATCTATTGAGGTTCATCAGAAACTCTTTCGCCTGCCATATTTTCTTTTCCAGTGAACTGCTATTCATAATCGTAGACGACATGCTACTTCGATTCCTTGTGTTTGTATTGAGTTTTGCGAAACGTTGTTATAAATGAAGTTATTTATTGTCACTCACTTGTATTATATTTCACTAAAAATTGCATATAAATAAGTCAAAGCAATACGCCAGCGCCAATTAAGCCATATTTGCAGTTTATATCATAAACACATTTCCCAGATCGAAAACTGAGGCAATAGCAACTTATGGATCACAAATCATTCCACATTAAACTGAAAGTACTAGACAAGTCAGTGTCTTTACTGTAGCTACTGCAAGTATTTGAATCTGCACATTGAAAGTAAAAAAATTCTCATGTAACTAGCACGTTTGTGAATGGCATTCCATAGATTAAAAGATACTTAAGTCCATGCACGCATTTCTCGATCTGGCACATGTGCGACAATTGAACTCAATACACTGAATATGAATGAATTCCCTTCGATGTTTTTATATTCGTTGGATTATTTTTATATATCATTCTCTTCTCACAATTTATTTATATTGATTCCAAAGGTAATTAAAAATTTACTTTCCATAATTTTCGCGTTTATTTGTGTTTATTGAGATATAATTATATTTAATATCTTTTAAATGATATTGACATAATTGATGACGACTGACTGTTGATAATGGTTAAGTAGTGAAATTATTGCTCCATTATTCTATAAATTCCGAAACAAGTGGCTAAAAAATGTCCATAGTCTTATTTTCTTTTTTTCTTTCTGAAAAATCGACTTTATATATACATATAAGGACCCATCTTCCTTATTTGTCAAGGTTAAGCCCGATTGTGGAAACTGAAACTATTGTTAAAAAATAATATACTAGTTTCTACTCTTAGTTCCTATTTGTTGAAATTGGAGATATTGGGTATGAAAATTTCGGAACTCATTTTTTTGCGCATAAGCACAAAATCTGCAGGCATCCTTTAGAATGATCTTTGAAAACTGATAGTTGTTAAAACCATGTTTTATGAAGAAACAAATAAATAATCTATATTCAGATCTACTTGAACTGTGTGACCCATAAATATGTTTGTTTCTGATTTGAAAGAGTTGTTTGAATTGCATCAGCTTACTCTAAACACCCCAATTCTTAGAGAACACTTCAAATTCTATGTGTAGACTGGTAAGTAAAATCTTAATTATGCAAAAATCTTAATTAGTTTTAAACCAATTTAGTTATTTGGATTGCATCAGGTCTCCCTGATCAGGCCAAACCTCAGACAATATAGTAGTGGAAATTCCATGTATCTAAAATAGATGTAGTCTAAAAAGTCGCAAAAAAAAGTCCCGCAAAAAAATTTTAGTTTTATGAAGTTTAGATTTATAGATTCACTCTTTTCCTTTATAATTTCACATTCGGACATTTTGCTAAAGAGTAGTTTATTAGTAGGTTATTGTGACCTTTATTAGGTCATATTTTAGTATTTGAATTACTTAGCGTTTTGTTAGATTAAGGCTGCATGATATTTAACGGGTTTCCAGTACTATGCCCGCATAATATCTAATTTGAATAGTAATCATGTATTAGTAATAGAAATAATCACGAAGGATGATTTTTGTGATACTATTATAATATATGTTGAGGGATAATACTCTCTATACTTGAACTTCTACATAAAGTACATGGGAAATTTATTATGATAACTTTGGGGAGCAACGAAACTTTCTAATTTCATACAACTGATTTCAAATATCTGCACTTTCAGAAATAAATTATACACTAACGCGAAAGCATATTGCTGAGTTTTTACTGCAAGGATAACTTTTAGCTGGAATCATATTATGAAACTCATTCAACTAAAAGCTGCAACTTTGCAACATCATCGTCATGCTTCACACAATGCGCACACGTGCACTTCGGGTACAAAAGCATTTTAAGCGCTCGCATGCGATACCCACTCCACTCCGTACCACTCCAATATGTAGCAGCAACATAGTGAAACATCAGCAACATGAACGGCACCAACATTGCTAACAATGCCAACAACAACAACAACAACAAGAACAGCAACAATAACAAGAACAGCAACTATAACATTAAAGTAAACGCATATGAAAAACTTTATATCTTCAATTTTTTTCCATTTTTTTCATATGCTCGGAGTGCAACCTGCATGCAGGAAGCGGATGCAGAGATGGTTTGGGTGCCATGAAGGTCAAAAGTTTTTCGGTAAAGTAAAAGTTTTTGACTGTGAATAAGTGCTGCACAACTTTTTGCATTACAAAAAGAAAAAACAGTTCAAAATAAATAAAACTTTAAGTAATGTATTAAAATATATATAGAGGAAAAAGGATTTCAAATAGGAAAATATTATATATATGCACATATATAATCTTATCATATGTGTCGAACTGTAACACAAAATATCAAATTTTGTGTTAAAATTTTATTAGATATCTTTTAATTATATATTACAGACCTAATATTTTTCTATATCTATATCTATTGTTAGTGAAATAGCAAAAAAATATTACAGCAAAAATATACTATAATTA